TCTTCCACTTGCCATTACCTTTTCAACTCTACATGCACTGCTTGGCTAAGCTAAGCTATATTTGCTGATCTAGTCAGTTATGTGTATTCTGGTCCTTTGTTCCTGCAGCCTGGGGACTGCTCAGATTTCAGGACATAACACTAGTTAGTGAAAGATACATTGTGTTGCCAAATAAGAAGATGTGTGGTGCCTTCACCAATACTTTAGACTTTTAATCAATGTTCCCTCTAATTTTTTGCTAGTGTGGGGTGGGAGCCTCATGTGCGCGGGGTTCCAGCTATGACTGAAAACAAATGGGCACCAACTCTGACTTGGTTGCGCAGCCCCAATCCAGTGTTTTAGAGGCGCAAGGCTACACAGCTTAGAGGGAACATTGCTTTTAATAGTGTATTTTGCAAAGATCGGAATATTACTTTGAGTCTTTCGTATAGACCACAATTTTGTACCTACAATAGTAACATTGCTGTAGGGGGTATTAATACCGTTGCTCTTGTAGATCTTTTTTCATTTTGAATTGTGGTGCTGGAGGAGGCTCTTGAGAGTCCCCTGGACTGCAAGGAGAACAAACTTATCCATTCTAAAGGAAATCAAGCCTGAGTGCTCACTGGAAGGACAGATCCTGAAGCTGAGGCTCCAATACTTTGGCCTTCTCATGAGAAGAGAAGACTCCTTGGAAAAGACCCTGATGTTAGGAAAGTATGAAGGCAGGAGGAGAAGGGGACGACAGAGGATGAGATGGTTGGCCAGTGTCATTGAAGCTACCAAATGAATTTGACCCAACTCCAGGAGGCAGTGGAAGACAGGAGGGCCTGGCGTGCTCTGGTCCATGGGGTCACGAAGAGTCGGACATGATTTAATAACTAAACAACAACAACAACAACAATACTGGAGTAGAGTTTCCCATGTAATGCCATTAACTTGCTCTTTTCCCTGTACAAGATGGCCTGTGGATTAATCTTCACCATATATTTGAGTTTAATAAATTGTTTTGATCCATGTGAAGCATGATATTTTGTTTTGTACTCAGAACAAAAGACCCTGAAGCCCTAGCCCACCCCTTTGTGTCAGAAAATACAGGGAGGGACACTGGAAATGAATGTTGTATATATTCCAGCTCCCTGGCCAAACACTACTTTTTATTTTAGAAGGAAAAACCACTAACACAATTGGGATTCATATACTCTGTCCTTCAGTGGATACCTCAGTCTGCGCTGAGGCCTACAATGGTGTACAGGAGCTCCTCGTGATGGGGTGAGTAATCATGTTAGAAACAAATAAACTTCCTGTTGGGACAATGTATTTTTATATTGACCCAAATGCTTTGTGCCCCATCATGCTGTTACATTAATAGTTTAACGGGTATGTTACATTGACTTTTATCTCTGTTTTTTTTAAATTTTTGCATTTTCAATTTGGAAGCCACCTTGGGGGGACTTCTGGGAACAGAAATTTTATAAAACAAAGCAAACAATGAATAAAGATATTGTGATGAGCACGACAGAACAGAATGTGTAGCTGAAAAGTACTTGCAGAATGAATAATTTCAGTTAAGACTGGAGAAACAAAAATGAAGATTATACAAGCTATACATAACTGTATGATGTGTGAATGTACATTCATTTTCCCAGTAGAAACTCAGGTTTGAACCGCTCCTTGTGTTTAAGTCCCAAGATGAGCTTGGGCCAGTCATTACCATTCATGGATTAGTTGTGAGGACAATGAAACCATGATATAAGCTCCCTTTCCTGCAGTTCCCAAAGTGTGGGTAGGGTATAAATGTAATGTAATAAAATAAAAATGCCTATTGCAAGACACTGTTTGTAGCTCAGAAATATACCGTATTTTTGCTCCATAAGACGCACCGGACCTTAAGACGCACCTAATTTTTAGAGGAGGAACACAGGGAAAATATATTCTGAACCAAATAGTGTAATAAAATATTTAATAAACTATAACAGAATAACATTTGAACCATGTAAAGTGAACAGCAGTCAACAGTGGCATTTATATAGACCATTATCAGCCAGTGATAAGACCTATACCACTCTACCTATATTTTACATTTCCTTTCATCCACCTCCTCCCCATGCTTATAGAAATGTCTCAATGACAGATGAGATTGTTGTGCAACTCTGCCCAGCTACAGCTCAAGCCTATATTAAGTTAGAAATGGTTTGTCTGATTTGGCACTGCATTGAGAGGTCCCTTTTAGTTGAGTGGAGGATAAATAGTGGAATTAAACTATTTAACAGCTGGTTTTCCTTATTTACTTTAGGTTATGCAAAAGAACAGCAACACAAAGCTTAACCTGATCCCATTCACCAGCAGTAGCACATGCTCAGCATAAGACCAAATCTCCATTTTCTGACATAATTGAACATTTATAGCATGCAAGGCACAATAGGTTAGGCCATACAAAGCCATGAACAATGTTCTTGATGAGCCAAAAAAACTGAATACAAACTATAGTAGCTGAAATCAGGAAGCAGGTACTGCAATCCAGTTAGAAGTCACGAGGCACAGTTAGTTTCCTTGCTGCAACACCCTTAGGAAATACTGTACATTCTCTATTAGATGCCCAGAACTAGTTGAAAAGTTTGC